TATTTTACATTTATGCATGTATTGCCTGCATATAGGTAAGTGCATCCATGTCATGCAATGCGAGGAGGACAGGAGAGCTGCGCTATAGACTTACCCCAAGAGGCCTGAGGATAGTAGTCATGATAGGCCTTTTAAAAAATATATTTTATTATTTTTATTTTACATTTATGCATGTATTGCCTGCATATAGGTAAGTGCATCCATGTCATGCAATGCCCGAGGAGGACAGAAGAGGCTGTTGGTTCCCCTGGAACTGGAGTTACAGGCAGTTGTTAGCTGCCATGTGGGTGCTGGGATTCAAACCGGGTCTTCTGCAAGGACAGTGTTCTTAACTGCTGAGCGCTCTCTCCAGTCCATGATAGACCTTTGTAAAAAGAAAAATAGGGGGCTGGAGAGATGACTCAGTGGTTAACAGCACTGGCTGCTCTTGCAGAGGACCCAGATTTGATTCCCAGCATCTACATGCTGGCTAACAAACATCCATAACTCCAGTTCCAGGGGATCTGATGCCCTCTTCTGACCTCTGTAGGCACCATACAACATGGATATACTTACTTGCATGTAGGCAAAACACTCATACACATAAAATAAATATAAATAAAAATTTTAAATCAAAAGGAAATAAAAAAAATTAATGCAACTGGAGATAATCATATTAAGTGAATTAAGCCAACCTCAGAAAGATAAATACCATATGTTTTCTCTCATATATGATTTCTATACTTTATGTAAATACATAAAATTAGGTTGTAAATATAACATGAAAAAAGAGACTGTTTAGGGGACTATTAGAGGGGGAAGAAGGGAGCAATGAGAAGATATATTGTGTGGAATATATGTGTGTGCAAAATATCATTATGTAATACAGTACCATGTACAATAAAAATTGAAATAGATAATAAATAAAATGAGCAAAGACTAGAATAAACATTTCACCAAAGAAGATATTTGAATAGCAAGTAAGCATATGAAAAAATATTTAGCATTTAAGGAAACCTGAATTAAAGCCACAATAAAATATCACTATATGCCTATTAAAATAGCTAAAATAAAAATGCTTACTGTGCCAAATGCTGACAAGAATAAGGAGGAATTAGATTTATTTCTCATTAAATTGCTGATGGGAAAGTTAAATATTACAGTCACTCTAAAAAACGGTTTAGCAATTTCTTCTAAAACAAAACCAAAACCAAGCCAAAGTGGCTGTGGTGATCAACACCTACAGAAGGCTCACAAAGTCAGAGGCCAGTCTAGACTAGATCATGAGCTCAAGAGTTCCAGCCAACTCGGCCTACACTATGAGGAAACCCTGTTTCAAAGAAAATAAAAGTAAACACATATTTACCACATGACCCAGAAAACACATGCCTTTGCATTTAACCCAGAGAAATTTTTTGCTTCTTATATTTGAAGATCTGTAATTAGCAGTAAAAAAGGAAACAAAAAAATCCAAATCGTTTCTCTTTACTGTGACTCCACTTTTGGTCACTAAATTGTCATGGCTGGGTTTTCCCCATAGAAAGCAGTTCTCCAGGTCCCTGCAGGCACCAACTACATGTCCTGTAATTCACTTGATTTTGGTATTATCTGGAGATATAGCAGATCCCATAGATTAAGGGCTCAGTTCTACAAGACACCTTCCCATTTAGATGGGAACACACTGCCTCTTAGATGCCACTTCCAACTGGGAGGTCTTAAAGCTACTCAGTTCTGCCAACTTGTTTACTAGTCAAGTTCCCACAACTTCTACCTCAGATTTTATCATGTACTGGACTAGCTACAGAACTCAGAGAAACAGATTTACTGGTTTATTGTAAATGATGTTACAAATGATACTGCTGAATAGTCGAATGAAATAAGCCTAGGCAAGGTCCAGAAGGCTCTGGGAACACAGGAGCTCCTTCCCATATGTGGATCTGTTCAACATTCCAGAAGTGCTCTGAGTCTCATATCTTAAGGATTTTTATGGAGGCTTCACCAAGCAACATAATCAATTGGTAATTCAATCTCTACCCCTTCCCTGTCCTTTCTAGAGGATGGGTGATAGTTCTAAGCTTCTAATCACAAATTAGTCCTCTGGTCACCAGTCATCTTTCTGAAACTATTCAAGAGCCACTCAAGAGGTCATCTCATTACAGTCAAGGATGCATCTCTCTCTCGGGAAATTACAAGGATTTTAGGAACTCTGTGCCAGAAACTGTGGCCAAATCCAATGTACATTTGTTATGGCATAGTATCATAAGCAATGTGTACATTTATAATTTTTTGGCTTTCCTACCAAATTTATTGCTTTATCATTATGAAAGTTCCCTGTTTGTGCTGTTGTTTAAAGTTTACCTATTTGGGTCTGGAGAGATGGCTCAGTGGTTAAGAGCACTGACTGCTCTTACAAAGGACCCGGGTTTGATTCCCAGACCCCACATGGTAGGTAACAACTGTCTGTAACTCCAGTTCCAGGGGATCTGACACCTTCTTCTGACCTCTGCCAGCATTGCACTACACGGGTGCTCTTACATACATGCAAGCAATACAGTCATACACATAAAATAAAAATAATAAAGTTTACCTATTTGAAGAACCACTTCATCCTTCTTATGTCTAGTGGCTGAATGATATGTTTTTATCTATTTAAGCACATCTGGATTTTCTTCTCTTTTTTCCAAAAACAATAGGATTTTATTTGGGTCTTAGGAATTGCAGTTGAGGAGATACAGATTCCCATGGCTCTGGAGGAAAGCAGAGGAAGTGGGAGCTTACATAGCCTGCCAAATATAAAGAGAGCTGGGTGTGGTGGCACACTCCTTTAGTCCCAGCACCTGGGAGGCAGAGGCAGGTGGATCTTTGTGAGTTCAAGGCCAGCCTGGTCTACATAGTGAGTTCCAGGACAGCTGGGGCTACAGGGAGACCCTGTCTCAAAAAGACCAAAAAAAAAAAAAAAAAAAAAAAAAAAAAAAAAAAAAAAAGGCAAGGGCTATGAGATGACTAGTCAGCATATATAGAACATAATGTCCATCAAACAGGAGTCCAAGTCCTCATGGTCGCCATCTTAAGCCTCTCCCACAATGTCATTGTCAGTCTCTTAAGAGATTTAGGTCAAAGAGTGGACATGACCAAAGTTTGAATTCTGGGCCCCAACTGGAATCCTGCTTAAAGTCTGGCCTCTGTATTCCTTTTTGTAGCCATCTTTCAATGTTGTTTTCTTTGCAACTTTCTTTTTCACCGTGTTAGACTTCATCCCTGTGGCAAAATACCTGACATGAACAACTTAAAGAAGGAAAGGTTGATTTGGACTCATGGTTTCAGGAATTCAGTCCACTGACACTTGGCACCATTGTTTCTGTGCTGTGGTGAGGCAGGACATGGAAGGACACTTGTACTAGAGCACAACAGCACACTTCATGGTAGAAACATACACAGCATGGACAGGCAAGAAAAGGTACACGCTTAGTGATCTGCTTCCTCTAGTCAGACCCCACTCCCCAGTAACCATCAATTATGAATCCATCAATGAATGAATCCATTCATGAAGTTAGAACCTGCACCATCCAGTCACTTCCCAAGAGCCCATCAGCTCCCAGTGTGTGAGCCCTGAATGAAGACCTCAGCATACCTGGTTACCTGCCCATTTTCCAGACTTCAGCCTTACTATATACTCTTTACAGCTCTACCTTTAGTGCTTTTCTCCCGAAGTCTGGCAAGCTGGACCATTTAGTCACCTAAAATTCACATTAGTCATGACTCCCACCTAGAACTCTTTGAAGGACGCCTACCATGGGATTGTCACCCAGCGCTCTGTTTCACCAACTTCCTGTCTTCCATTGTCAGCCCCTCATCTGTATCTTTAAAGTGTACCTCTTGAAGACTAGAAAGCTCAGTCTTGGTTTTTTTAAAATCCATTTTAATAATCTTTGCCTTTTAATTGAATGTTTAGCCCATTTATACTTACTATAATAATTAATGTAACTGGATATGGGTCTATTGCCTGTTGCTTTCTTATTACTTTGTTTCACCATTTTTCTTTTCCTCGTATTTAAAAAAATATTAGAATTTTTTAATCCAATTTTAGTGCCTCTGTTGAAATTTTAATCATGTACATTTGCATTATTTTCTTTGTAATTTGTCTTCATCAGCAATTTGGATATACTTTTCAATGAAGCACTTGAGTCTCTGATTTTTATTGATATGGAGGACTTTACATATTACAAATCCTCATTGGGTATAAGCATTGCAAATATCTTCTGCCACTCTATAACATGCCTTTTTATTCCCATAATAGTTTCTTTTGAAGAAGCTTTTAAGATTTACTATTTTATTATTTTCATTTTTATTTATGTATGTACCTATATGTGTGTGTATGTCACATGTATGGAGGTGCTCTGGGATGCCAGAGGAAGGTGTTGGTTCCCCTGAAGCTGGAGTTACAGGTGGTTGTTAACTACCCTATGTGGGTGCTGGGAACCAAACTCATGTCTTCTGGAAGAGCAGCAAGTGCTCTTAACCACTCAACCATCTCTTCAGCTCCAAAAGAACTTTTTTATTTTGTTGTCATAAACTCTAACCTCGCAATTTCTCAACTATAAAATAGGATATATAATAGTATTCCATTTATTGGGTTTTTATGAAAAAATAAAGGAGTATATGTAAATAAAGGAGTTGTGTAATCAGCACAATTCCTGTTGCTTAGAAAAGTTCAAAAAATATTATCTCCCTTTTAGCCTCCCTGCCCCCATCTATTTCCTGTTTCTGAGAGGTTATGTGGTGAAGCAAAAAAGAAAAGAAGGGGAGACCGTATATACTTAAAAATTTCTACATAAGTGTATAAGTCCCTATTTGTAATAGAAAAATAAGAGCTCTACAATTCATTTCTTCCCTCCTTTGGAAATCTTTTACTCTATATGAAGCAGTTTAAGATGACTGACTCTGATTTGTCAATCCCATGACTCCTCCTACTTTCTTTTCAGTGATCAGAGACGTACGCTGCATCAGAGTGAAGTTGGTCCATTTTATTGACTGACAACCAGAAAACAATATGGCTGGTTTTCCAACATCCATCATCCTCACCTCTCTCCTCTGCCAGATCACAGGTGAGTTTGAACATATTCTCTTCCAATCTCCTGACTGTCTTCCCCATCCTGAGGTGTATTTCCAGGCTCCTGGGTCCACCCTGGAGACTCTCCCTCATTTAGCATAGCTTTTTTACAAACCTCTGGTCTCTAGAAAGAAAGAGATTAGAAGGAGAAGAAAAGGAACAGCTCTGGGAACTAACTCCCTTCTGACTATCCCAGGGAAGGAAGGACTGACAGAGTGGTGCTAGGTTTAGGAGGTCTGTATTCTGATCCAGATTCTGCTATGAATTAAATGAGGAAACAACTTTAAAAGTAAAATTATACAAGTGTGTGCTTATTCATAAATATATTTTATTTAACTGTTTCTAAATATACTTAATTATGCATAAAAATAATATCTGTGGAAGGAACTATTTGAATCAGTCTTTACTTAGGAAACTAACTTATTATAGGTACTCTCTGTTTAGTCATATGGAGGACTGAGGGCTTTCACGCCCCTGTTACAGGTGTGATAGTTGTTGAAGATTTTACTATGCTGAGAATTTTCAAACTCTTGGGGTACCACCATGAGGTCCCTGTGGCTTGTCATAGCTGTTGCTCACATACACACTAAGCCTACCTGAAATGACTTGCCCTCAAACCACACAGCACTCTCCTTCCATTCCTCCTATCAGCAGACCACCCTAAGTGATGTGACTCTATACTGTCACTCCTCCTTAAAGCTTGCATTGTTAGGAAGCACCTGGCCCTAAGCAGGTGATCCTGAAACAGGCTGATCTTAAAAATTGCTCCCTGAACGGAAATGGTGATCAAAATTAGAACTTGAAGATGATGTGGGGGAGGTCATGTCAGGATTTTGAAAAGCCTCAGGTACCCACCTGAACCGTGTGCAACAGGGTATGGTATCTGCCTGCTGCTCTGCTCCAGTAGGCTGAGGGTGGTCTAGTGTTACATAATTGAAAGGAGTCAGAGATTGTCCTAGAACCTCCAGTGATAGGACAGTGGGAGGGGTCCTGACCCTGGAAAACAGCATCCTGATTTGACTTGGTAGCTGAATGACTGTGAGCAAGTAGCTCATCCCCCAAACTTTGCTTTTCTCATATGCATTACAGAAAATGAAATCCAACTTGCAGAATTATTGTGATGTTTTTAAATGAGATATCAAATGCAAATTAATTTTAGTAATAATAATCACAGTAGAAGCCCCTACTACCCCAAAGGTGTTTTTTGTGCAATTTCCTTACAAGTCTACAAGATGTATTATTATCCTTGTTTTATAGATAAGGAAATTTATGTTGGGAGAAGTCAAGTTTTATGGGCAACATCACACAACTATTAAGATGTGAAGCAGCGATTGAGTTTGCAAAGCTAGTGCCATCTTCATACACCAAACTTTCCAACCTAACATGGTACTTGACACCAGAAAGGTGTTCTGTAAATGTGTCTTTGAACCAAATCTTCCACAGTAAGAGCCAGATGGAATTTCTTCCTTCTCCAGGTTCTCAAGCCCAAGGTAGAGACTGGAAAGATCCTCAACAAGCAGGTAGCACTATTTTGGAGATGTGGTTGCACCAATAGGGTACCACTCTGGCCAGTCTGAGATGGGCCAAGGGACAGCACTCACAGCCTTGATATTCTCATCTGGAAAATTAGCACAATTATCTGTTTCACAAGTTTTATGATGATTAATCAACAGAATAGTTTTCAGGAAACCAAAAGAAAATTAAGATGAGTGATGGGGCATGGGGGAGCTGACAAACAGAAGAAACAGAGAGAAAGGAGTGGAAGACAAGTGATGGGCAGAGTGGGAGTGGGCTTCGGTGGGAATGTGGCAGGCTGAATGTGTCAGGAAAGGCAGGGGATCAGTTGGTGAGTTTCTGTTCTGTGTACGTCTCATATGGTATTGACTTACAATGCAGTTTTCAGGGGACATAGTAAAGGAGAAGTTGGCTAAAGGACAGCTCATTCCAAACCATTTGTTTTTGCTTTTTTAGGCAGTGGTTTTCACTTACAAAATGAAGCTTTACACAGAAACAAACACAGAAATGATGTTGCATATATTTGAAGCCTCTCTTATAGTGGACAGCTCCGAAGCCTCTGTCCCTCTGTTCTTTAGACCTCTTCCTTGGCTTTTCAGATACACTGAGGTCCTAAGAATACATGGGTGGCAAAGGGCACTGGGGAAATCTTGCCTTTAGAGGTTTGACTTCTCAACTCCCACATCTCCCTAACACTCTAAACAATAGCCTCCTCATCTGAGAAATGGGATGGAACTGAACTGCCTCATTCTGAAAATTCATCCCAGCTCTGAGATGCTCTGCTCTTGATTTCCATGAGGAGAGAACCTCAACATACTACTGTATTTGTGACATTCTGACATGAACACTGAGTGCCGGAGAGATACTTAAGGACTAGGCTAGCAAACAGGAGGTGGGCTTTGCAACCCCGGTCCCTTCTCCTGAAGTCTTCTTCCTAGGCCACCTTCTGGGGCTTTTGGCTACATTCATCATAGACCTTTATTGTAACTTCACTTCTTCATTCCACTCATCTTTTGACTTTCTTGGGGGTAAACATAATAAGAGGGGGAAGTGACAAGAGGAGAGGGAGGCGTCAAGAGGGAGGATTTGTCTCAGTCTGCTCTGGAGTACATCTCAGAGATGATGCGCCTAATGCTGAAAACAGCAGAAGGCAGAGGGTCTCCTTGGCCAGCCCTTCCTACCTCCATAGGCAGGTTGGCTGGAGGATGTACATTGGTACCTGAACCTGTGACCACTTGGCTGAGAAGTCATCCAAAGATTTTTGAAGAGATACTTTCTCACATTTTGCAGAAAGGAGACTGGAAAATGGGAAGCCTCCCCAAAGGCACTCTCTGCCCTGGTCTTTCACCTCCCACTGTCAGGCTGCTCTGTACTTCTCAAAACACTTTCAGATCCATATTCACACTTCAGCCTCCCCAAATTCCTGGCAAATGAAGGTGCTATTTTCCCCTATGAGATACCAGAAAACTGAAACCCAAAGTAGTAAATGTAAAAAGAACACACAGGTCCCTCTCTCCCCTCTCCTCCCCCCTTCCCCTCTCCTCCTCTCTCCCCCTCTCCTCCGCCTCCCCCTCCTCTCTTTCCTCTCCTCCCCTCTCCTCTCTTCTCCCCTCTCCTCTCTCTCAAGCTAGGATCAAACTCTGAGCCTCACACATACCAAGCAGGAGCTCTACCACTGAGCTACACCCTGCCACTTCTATGTGGCCTTGGAAAAGCCACTCAGTCCTGGTGCCCTTATTTATAAAGCAGATCATATTAACCCTTATCTCCTGAGGTTATTCTGAGGATCAAGAAAGATGAGCCCATTGAACTTTTTCCCAGAGTGATACGAAGTGTTTGTTTCTGGAATTAGGACTATGGAGGAACCAGAACAGAACCCAGGTCCCTTAACCTCCAGTTAGGACAAAAGCCCTTTCTCGGCTGTAGTATCCTGGCAGGAGGAGAGCTCAACATAATGCTTATAGATTGGCCATTGGCTAATCATGCCCAGTCACCATGGAGGTGAAATATTTCTTTATGAAATATTTGCAGGTTTTGAATAAGATTTATTTCAGATGCACAGAGAAGAGACTAAAGTATAAAAGTAGCATGAAGTCAAAAGTAAACTGAGGTCTGGGAAGGTGACTCAGCAGGTAAAGGTTCCCCAGAACTCATATGAAGGTAGAAGGAGAGAACTGACTCCATAGAGTCATGGCAACACACACACACACGAACTGAAGATCAAAACAGGGAGAAGGCCTAGATGCTGCTCTGGTGGCATCAAGTAGGTACCAGCCTTGGGTTCTGCAACTTCCCATAGCCTTAGATCATCATCCTGGCCTTAGAGCTAAAGCCTTGGGTTTCTCTCAGGCAAAGACCATTCTACATCATGTGATACCTCTAAGGAAATCACTGTGCCAGAGAAGAGAAATCACTTAAGCTGAGTGCTGTCAGGCTCTCCAACCACTGGCTATTATGAAATAAGAAAGGGGTGAAATGGGTGCATAGGAAGCAAGTTTTAGTGTCCACTGCTGACTGAGATGGAAGGGTGACATCTAAGGAGGGTGGGTGAGGCTCCTAGGACCTAGTCCTCCTAGGCCGTCAGGTGTTGGCACCATGCATTCTCTAGCAGGCATGTCCAACTACGTGCAGCCAAAGATAGCTATGAATGAGGTCCAGCACAAAATCATAAACTTACTTGAAACATAATGAGATCTTTTTGGTAACTCTATTGTGCAGTTCTTGAGGATGAACTTTGTAAATGACTGTCTTTGACTTGCCAATGTAAAAAGGTCAGACAAGTCTGAGAGTCTAGTATCCTCTGATGACATAGGTTAAGTTAAGCCCTCCCTTATTGTTCTCACGGCACCTGTTACTCCCTTTTTCCACATATGTAGTTACTTATTTGATGATTTTCTCCCAACTTCACGCAAGAATCATGACTATCTTGTCCTTGTCCTTTAGAGATGCCTTTGAATCCTAAACAATGCCTGTTATAACAAACACGACCTACTTAGATGTAGTAAAACTCAGAACACCTGTAGGTGGTAAAGCCAGCACAAAAAGATCAGTTTCAGTTCAGTCTTGGACAGTTTTATTTTTAAATGTCTCTTGTTTCTAGATCCCTTTCCCTAGTCAACAAAGAAAAAAAAATAACTAAACTGGTTAGGACTCACAACGCTGTCCCTTACTCATTAACCCATTAGTTGAAAATAGCAAGGAGCTGTTTTCCTCAGTTAACTTCTCTTTCCATGGATATGGCAGCACTGGGAAGGTGGGGCAGGAAAATCAGGAGTTCAAAGCCATTCTTGGTTTATTGGTAACATAGCAAGTTTGAAGCCAGTTCAGACTATATAAGAACTCCACTTAAAAAGTAAAAAGAGGAAGGAGAGGAAGGAGAGGAAGGAGAGGAGGGAGAGGAGGAGGAGGGTGGAGGAGAAGAAGAAGAGGAAGAGAAAGAAGAGGAAGAAGAAGTTGTCAGAGGAGGAGGAAGAAGAAGTAGTCACATGGGGCAGTTTGTTCTGTGTCACCCTCCCATTTCATTCTAACAAAGCACACTGAATTTTCAGACATTTTCTTACAGTCCCTCACTGTTCACATCCCAGAGCATTTACCCTGAGAAAATAGAACCATACTGTGAAAGAATGAAAAGAGTAACTGCTCTTGGCTTAAAAACATACACACATGCTAGTACACTAAAGCCACATTCTACAGTTTGTCACTTAATCACCTTGCTATGGTTTGAATGTGGTTTGCACACACACACACACACGCACGCACGCACACACACACAAGGTTTAATGCTAAAAGCTTGGTACCCAGTGTGGTGATGTAAAGGTGGTAAAATATTTAAGAAATAGAGAAGGAGTTAGGAGGCAGTGTTAGGTTAAGAGGATACCACCCTGAAAAAGAATTAATGCTGCTATCTTGAAGTAAGTTAGCTATCTTGATAGCAGGTTGTTATAGTGAAGCCTTCCTGTGCCTGGCCTCTTCTGCACAAGTGGTTTCCCTTCTGTTTCTCTGCCATCTTGTGACCCAATGAATAGGGTCTTCACCAGAGGCCCAGCAGATGGTGTCACCCATGCTTAGACTTTCAAACTCCAAAGATGCAAATTAAATAAATTTCTTTCCTTTGCTGCCACAGAAAGAGACTAATACACCCTTTAAATACTCCCCCAAACCTAATACAGAACTGAAATTACTTGAAGTTTGCTTGAGTCCAGGAATTGTATCCACTTGAGGGGACAAGTGAAACCCTATCTTTACCTGACTTCA